CCCCAGTCCTAGGCAAGCACTAGTCCAATTTCTGTCTCTACAGATTTGCCTGTTCTGGACATTTCCTATAAATGGAGTCACACAATAGATGGTCTTTCATGATTGGTTTCTTTCACTTAGTGTAATGTTTTCAAGAAAGCTTTGTCGGTGCTCTAGCATGGATCATGACTTCTTTCCTTTTTTGGTTGAATATGTAATATTCTATTGTGTGAATATGCCACATTTTATTTACCCGTTTATCAATTGATATTTTGTTTCCAGTTCTTTGCTAGTAAATAATGCTATGAACCCTGTGTACAAGTTTTTCTGTGAACATATTTTCAACTCTCTCTAGAGTATATATCCTAGGAACAGAATTACTGGGTAATATAACTTCATACTTGCTATTTTCAGGAATGGCTGAACTTTTCCAAAGTGACTGCACTATTTTACCTTCCCACTAACATGTTATGAGGGTTCCATATTCTCCACATTTCTTGCTAACACTTACTGTCTACTATAGCCATCCCAGTGGATATGAAGTTGTATCTCACTGTGGTTTTTGACTCCCATTTCTCTAATAGTTAAATGTTTTTCACATGCTTAGGAACTATTTGTATAATTTCTTTGGAGGAATGTCTGTCCAAATTTATTTTTCAATTGGGTTGTTGAGTTAGAAGAGTTTTTCATATATTCTGGCTACAAGTCCTTTTATCATATATATGATTTGCAAACATTTTCTACCATGTCAGCTGTTCATTTTCTTGATAGTCCTTTAAAACACAAAAAATCTTAATTTTGATGATCCTCAATTTATTTAGTCATTTGCCTTTTCTAACATTTATCCTTCCCCCAAATAGATTTTTAGAGTAGGCTGTATATGAAATCAGTTTCATTACTAGAAAGCTAATGGAACTTAGAAATACACTTAGTAAAAACAATCTAGATTTATTTCATCCCAGTTGTGTTAAGAGTACTTTCAATTTGCAAGACAGTTTTCAGAAGTCACTGGATGACTAAGCTTGCATCATTGGGAGCTATTTTATCCACATCTTCGTTTAAAGCAGAATTTTTCCATTAGTATCTGATCTCTAATTTTTGTTAGAAAAAGATTCTATGGCCTGTGCTTACTACTAATAACACTGCTTATTGTTGGGAAAACTCTTGTGAAACATTTGTCAAGCACATAAAATAGTATAAAAGTGAAATATAGTAATTAAGATGTGTGTTCTATCGATTGGGTAAGCCAAAGTAATTTTTCATTACTAACATAAGATTTAATAAGTATAAGTAGTTAAAGATTCTGACTTGGCACTAGTCATTAGCATGTAATTGAACTAGTAAAAAAGATCAGTTAAAGCTGTGCTGATTACCACCTTATCTTTGAAAGGCAATTAAAGACCTCAATCATTACAACAAGATTTGATTGTGCAGCCTTTATTGGACATTGATCTTTCAGCAAAGTGCAGTTACATTTTCCATTAATTTACAGTAACACAGTTTAACTCTGATACCCTAGACTGTTGACCCAGGTGAGATGTAATGCTAAGTACTGGTTTAGGTTAAGATGCCCCAAACATCATTACTGTCTGAATGCTAAGTGCTGAAAAAAAGAGGATACCCAATCCACTAGCTTTAGGATAAGGTTTCTGTTATCTGTATTAGCTTTTAAATGAAATGAAATCCAGATCCTTGTCTTTAGGTCCTCCACTCATTCAAATGACATTCATTCTTTAATGGAATTAAAAGACATTACTTCATAAAGAATTATAGATGTTTTGTGATTATAGTTTTGTGTGAATATAAATGACACAAGATAAAATGTATATTTTAAAAGAAATATATATGGCTTTTAATAGTTAAAAATGTTTCCATTTCTACTGAAGCCAACAATAAGCAAAATATTAGTGACCAAATGTGTGATGAATATGGACTTCCCTGGTAGCTCAGATGGTAAAGAATCCACCTGCAATGCAGGAGATCTGGATTCGATCCCTGGGTTGGGAAGATCCCCTGGGGAAGGAAATGGCAACCCACTCCAGTATTCTTGCCTAGAGAATCCTATGGACAGAGGAGCCTGGTGGGCTACAGTCCGTGGGATCACAGAGTCGGACACAACTGAGCGACTAAACACAACACACATATATGATGAAAGAATTTATAACTATTTGTACAATTTGGTGTGTTAAGACATTAGCACTGAGAAACTAGGGATTTTATTATTATTATTAGCAACCTCTTTCTTGCCCCCAACTCTGTTGTTCTTTTTTTTTTTTCTGTTACGTAATCTTTATGGTGGTTCACCACTTACACAGGAACCACAAATTTTGACTAGAAATTTCTTCCAATATTTGATCAATGATTTGTACAGAAGTAACAATGGAAGAGATGCAAGATTTTAAACTGAAATAAATCTTCATCTTCATTTTTAAAAGTTTTGCCTGGATTAAAGACTAAAATCCCATTAAAGAAGTAGATGCAGAAAAGCTGTCTCTGTTTCCACAACTCCTCCTCGTAAGAAAACTGCTATCCAGAAGGGCAGAGTCCACTTGAACCCTGCTTGCCATCTCAGGCATAGCCAGCATGTGCAGACAGGCACAAACTGCCTTAAGTGTGCCTCCTCCTCCCTTCCTCTCACCCTATTTTAAAAATCCTTTTACTGATGAAGCCCTTTAAACATAAATGGAAAACAAGAATGAGGATTACAAAACCAGCATTTCTGAAATAAAACTGACATTTGCTTACAAGCACATTCAAGATACACTTTTAAGGTAGAAAGGTTTCTTACTTTGCCCTTCTCAGATTACAGGTAGAAAAAACTAAGACACAAAGGAGGAGTTATTAGCCTAAAGTCAAAAAGTAAGACAGCACTGTTACTAAAAATAGAATCAGTCTCCTGACTTCCAACATTTATATTTTATCCCTTTTATGCCACAATACTTTGATGTAATATCCAACTTCAAAGAAAAAACTTAAACCATTGCTATTCAATGAGAAGCATTTTTCAGACTAAACGGTTCACTACAAGACTTCATAAATCCAAGGAGTGATATTTTAAATATTTGAACCATGCCCTTAGCCATTGTTGAGTTCATCCTTCACCATGATCAACTCCATGAGAGCAAGAGGTCTATTGATTTTCATGTAATACAAGAAAATATTACATTTGCTTAATTGTTACACAGTGAGCACATCAGGCAAGAAATCAAGGCTCTATTTAATGCTGCAAACAGCAGAGAATTACAGAGATCAATAGGGTAGTTTGTCAAAGATGTTCTCCAAGGGGACTTACCTATCACCATATGGACAAGAAGTCACTGTGATTGTAGCTATTGAAAAACAGGTAAGCAGAGTCAGCAGTACAAATTATCAGAAATCAAACAGGCCAGTGTGAAAAGAAGTGCAACTTTACTGAAAAGCTGTATTTATAGTCTAGTAATTAAAAACCATTTTATCAGCCTTGTGTGGGGACCAAACCTTTACAGCAAGTATTGACAAGACCGGCAGCAATGAATGACCAGTATTTGACTTAAAACTTATGAGCTATAGTTATTTAACTTTGCCCATTACAGAGGAAATCAGTTCTAGCCTTCCTTGCAAAATGCTAATAGTCACTTTTATTATTAATGAAGCTTAATGTAACACTATCTCCTTTGTGTAAGCCGTTCATTTAACTAGTGTCAAGTATATTCTTCTGGACTATAAGTACTTCTTTGATTAAGGCGTTATTTAGAATTGCTTTTAGACAAGTGAACACTACATATATTTGAAGAACAGTTCACTCTCTGTAGCTTATTTAAAATGACTACCTTTAACGAAGCCAGTTTGTGTTACTTCCATTATTCTGGTACCTTCACCTCAATTACTTCCACTCACTTTCCCTGATTTGTTAGAAGCATGCACCCAAATGTTGGCTAGATTGAATTTTATAAAATATTTTGCTATAAAAATGTGTAAATGTTGCAGAGCATCAGCAACACATTAACATAAAATGATATATAATGCATGTTTGTAATTATGGGAGAGATCATAAATCTTAAACACCCATTGGTTTAGAAATTAAACAGTTCTACTTAGTTCTCCCTAAATTACTCCAAATTTCTGAAATTTACCATTCATCTGGGTATTTTGTAACTACCCCCAAGGATAAATTTTTTTTAATGACTTTGCTTTCAAAAATGCAATTAGCTTAATAAAATTCTAACACAAAACTGCCATCAGGTCTTTAAAATTTCAGCCCACTTCCCATGGCCAATAAGTCTATGGATACGTACCATTTCAGCTAATTGCTTTTTTAAACAGTTACCAAATTTATTTTTTCTGGGTCTTTCTAGGTCTTAATTGTTCTTACAGCTTTATCAGCATGCTATTTTAACTTTTAATAAGTCTTAATTTCATTTATTTTGCTGCATTTGCATTAAATGGAGTTGTTACCATATTTAAAAAATTAGTGTGGTATTGGATTCTTTAGGAAATAGGAAGGTTCAACATTCCACCCACACCTCTAGTACAGGAAAATGGCACAAGGGCTTTTAACACATTTCCATTTAAAATCCTGGCAGATGAATGGTTTAAATTTCAGGTTGCAGTTAGAATTCTTACCAATTTTAGATTTGCCAATGATGTTATATCCATCACATATTCTAAAATTCTCTACTTTTTCCAATGTTAAAGACTTTTTCTCCTTCCTTGTGTGCATATCTATATTTTCAAAGAGTTGATATATAACTACAGAATCTATAAATTACAATCATTTTTAAATCTCTAGTTCAACCTAGTTATAGGAAAAAACTGGTATAATGTTATGTGTTTGTGGTTCCCATTGGCTAAACAGAGTACACAATATATTACAATGTATGAAAAGCTTTGCCTCTTGAGGGTAATGATTCATCTTAAAGAACCACACACTGTAGGAAGAAAAAAAGTGTTTGCAAAGTTTTATTTTAAAGGATCAAAAATAAATATTGCACATACACATGAGAGAAAAATCTATTGATATTTATGTTCTTCAATGCACACTTTCAGTACATGGCACCTTCATCTTCTTTATTTAGAAAATAAACTGTTATTGGTCCATAACTGGTGTGCACAGTCTCTGTGACTCTAGCAAATAACCAGGAGCCAAGTCCATATAATAAAGTTGGAATACCTAGAAAACAAATGAATATGTTATTTGTGAAATAAACATTTATTAATCATGTACTCATATTTGTCATGGTATAAATCACATAGCACTCTTTAGCAACATCAAGAAATTATAAAGTTATAAAAATATGAGTAAACATTGACTCTACCTAAGAGGTCAATTTCATCTATGATTGTGAAACACAGTAACAATTGTGAGAGCCTAGAGATTTTTAAAACTATAGATAAGGCTGGTGTAAACTACTTCAAGTACTTTACAAACATTAATTCATTACCTCTGAGTAATTATGAAGTAATTCTATAGTCTTTTCACAAATAAGCAATCAGAGAATATTCATTTATTTAGTTGTAGAGGCTCTTCATTATAGGCCTTGAGCTTAAATTACTAGGTCATATTTATTGTGCTATAAGTTGGACAGTAATACTGATGGCTAAAATAATTTTTGTACAATTTAAAAGAAACTAGGTCAAAAAGCTGTCTTCAAAATCAAAGGCAAAACCTAATTCTAAGGAAGATTTTGGTATAATAACAAGCATGAGAAAGAAATAATCCCATTCATAGTTTTACAACTGATTTGAAAATCTTGTTTCAACCTACTTGAAATAGGTTAATAGTAGCCTCCAAGAATATATTTCTTCTTTGAAATATTTCCATTTGTGATAGGCTGCCATTTGTGATACATGCAACTAAACATACACTAGTCAGGGACTGCATTAAGCCCCCTCATAGGCACATGAGAGTAAGCTGGACCAAAAAAAAAAAAAAAAACTTTCACAATTCCTATTTTTTGTAAGGCACTTATTTAAAATCAATGACTATTAAAAACATATGTATAAAACCACAGGCACATAAAATCAATAAAAATATTGTGTACTTTGCACAAATATTAATTTTACTGTTCCTGTGTATGAGCAGAACATACATAGGACAGAAATGGACAGAAAATGTCAATTTAAAAAAAGAGCTGTAATTTGGAAAATCACTTTCTTTTTAGTTACTAGGGAAATCAACACATGCTTAGGACTAATCACATTGCTACATTTTTTTCTTATTTTTTCTGTAAAAGTATCTTTGCTGTGTTATGCTCTTTTCTGATTGTGTAAGTTCAATGGACTACTTTGTGCTTATTCCCTGAAGCTGCATTCCAGCCACTGTGATGCCAAAGATTAATCAGGGGAAGCATCACTAGTTGGCAATGAGATAAGGCAAAAAACCCCATTCAGACTGGCACCTCTCTATTTTTAGGAGTATACTGGGTCACAGCTTTTTATAATCATAGGGCTTCCTGGAACTCCTGTGAAACCTTTTCACAGTATATTGCCTTCTTTGCCTTGTGATACCTCCCTGCAAATCTCTGAAAGCCTCAAGGGAATGTCACAAAAAAGCCACAAAAACTAGCATCATAAAGCTATTTGTTAATCATTCAACCAAAAAGAAAAAAAAAAAGGGCAAGTGGGGGTGTAGTAGGGAAGTGGACAAGAGAACTAGAGTAAGACAGGCAAAAGTGACTGAAGAGGGAGCAGTTGAAATAAAAAATAAACTTTAATATATGTTATCACAACTTCAAAAGGTGAAAATCAATGGAGAGAAAAATGTTCTAGAAATAATTACTAATTTTCCAAATATATTAATAGTAAAATAAATAAAATATGACTTTTAAACCAATGGTAAGGACATTCAGTTCAGAAATAGCTGGTGACACTGAAAATTGTTTGTTTTTACAGTATTTATCAGTTTCCTGTAAAATATTGATTTTTTTTTTTTTAATCACACAAATGGTCAATATTTTTTCAGCTAAAATGGAGGACTGACCAAGGATTACTAATAACTACATTAGCTCTTACTAAGAAACTAGGAATTGTTAATGCTGTTTGATAGGGGGTTGAGATATGATATGGAGTCAGAAATTCTCTATTTTTTTTTAATCCTGCAGTCTACTTATTTAATGCAGTCAGGCTAATACACTAAATGTGAAGATTAGCCACATACATAATTAACACAGTTAAAAAAACCCATAATTTTCTTTATAGCACATATGCTATAAAATCTATAAGGTTTGATGAAAAATTAAATTTTTTCTAGACTGAAACATATCATAACATCAAAATGAATGTGAAACTCAGTTCTTTGCATAATAATTCATTTTGAGTCAGCTGAACAGTAGGTAAACCACTGTCAAATTAAGCACTTAAAAAAAATTAGAACTTTGTAGCAAGTCTCCAATTACCCATTCATTCCAATGGTAAGTTGATTTTCTTAAATCTCAATCTACTTCCCAGCAGGATACCCAGACTGATAAACCATCAGTAAAATGTCGCTTCCATTGAAAGGAAGGCAGGCGAGAAAGGGAACAAATGGGTAAAAGAGAAATCTTTATTATTTACAAAATTGAAAAATGAATTACTTTGATAATTACTAATCTGAAAGGGAAGAGAAGGAATAAAATCCTAAGTATTTTTTAAAAGAATATATACTTCATGGTCCAGAGGTGCAATAGCACAACACAGAATAAGAAAGAATCCTATTATCTAATTCCCTCCTCTAAGACAATAATACAAAAGAAACATTACCAAATTGGTGAATAAAAAGTCCAGGAAAAGAAAAACAAAAAACCTCCTTTTATTAGTATAAGTCAATTTGTATTAAAGTAAATACCTGAGCAGAAAGTTTTCCTTTCAGTTTAATTTAAAACTTTTATTCTCTTTCAGAATTTTTAGAATTTTAAAGAGGTCATAAAGACCATTAAATCACTATTCAGCTTTCTCTTCCACACACATTAAAAAAAAACTACAGCTGTTGTTTCTTTCTTAAGATTTTACTTTCACTACTTTTCTATGTGAGAATGTTCTGGGCATCCTATTTTCTTTGGATTTCTTTCTACCTAAAAAGATTAGGCCCTAATCAGTAAGGTGCTCTTAAATGGTGGAAACTTTTTTTAAAAAAGGCAATGGGTACATAGTTTACCAACAACTCTGCAGTTATGCTCTTCCTAACCTATTAAAGTGTATTAACTGTACATTTGGGAAGAATGACTTTTTTCTGTTTCTGAAGATGCTATTCAATAAAACAAATGTATTCTTCCTGAATCTAGTCATCACTCTAGTCTCTCCAAATAATTCTAGATTGAATTTTCTAAATCACTACACTCTTCAACTTTACATCAACCTCAAAATTAGTGGGCATGCTCTATATAGTTCATCAGCCAAATAATAAGGCATACTTTTAAAAGATTACACATCGCTAAATAATCTTCTCCTTAATGGGATGAACTCAGGACAGTACTAGTGGAGCAATGGCTCCAGAACCCCATGATTTACATATGTGAGTAATTTTAAGCAAAAAATACACCTGATGTATTTAAATTTAAGAAACTGTCAAGACTGCATAGTAAAAGTGTGGCTGCGTAGGGGCTGAGCTTTAATTCTGGTTCAAAAAACTGGTTGGGTAATGTGAGTTAGCTTGCACATCTAGATTCTGAGTTACTGAAATATGGATTAATTTGATTATCAGTTATTAATAGGTTCAAACATCCTAAGGCCTATTTTTCATTTACCTATAAAACATGAAAGATGCACCCATGTCAATGTTCACGCCTCTTCTGTCATTAAAGATAATAAACATTCAGCAAAAGTAAATACTCTGACTTAGAATATTCCCATGAAAACATACCAAAAAGAGGCAATCTTTTAAATATCTTTTAAGTCTAGTATCTGAAGAGGCCAATACCACCAGTGAAAACCTTCAGTGGTTTTAGTAAAACTAACTTGCTGGGACTTCATATAAAGAGAACAAAGAAACTTAAAAAAGTAGTTCGCACCCACAAAGTGATGTTCATGAGAATGAAGCCTGCCATATAATCAGGCATTTTATAAAAACTTCAGAGCCATTTTCAGCGGCCTACACCCTCCTTCTTACTGCCCAATGGAAGACTCCTTCCAGTTAACGAGGGGCTGGAAGTAAGACTAAAATGCCCTCTCACCGGGAGCGGATGCAGAGAGGTCCCACGGTACAGGCCTGTCAATAAGCCCCACTTTCCGGGGGACCATTCAGGACCAATAACTTAGCTCTGACAAGCACCTGCTGGGCGGGGAATACAGAAGCCCAGGACCAGGCTTGGTCCTGCACGGCTGCAGAGGGGGTGGGACGCGGAGGCAGAGGCTGGGACACGCCCCAGCACTGGGCGAAGCGCGGCGAGCGCGTGCGCCCGGGCGAGCCTGCGCGGGGCCGGGGCAGGGCAACCTCGAGCCAGCGCCGTCCGATCTCGGGACGGGGTCGCGGCCTCGGATGCAGAATGTTTGTCAGCGTGCTTTGCAAACAGAGGAGCCGTCGTCAGCGGGACGTGCTTCACCGGCCCGGGGCCACTCACCGAGGTTGACGACCTTGAGCGCCGTGAAGAACCGGTCCTGCCCGGCTAAGTCCTGCCAGGGAGCCTTGGAGCAGTGGTACTTGATGAAGGGGAAGCAGCCGGTGCGCAGGACGTGGTAGTTGGCGCCCTGCACGGGCCAGTTGAAGTGCGAGAGGCCGAACTGGTCGTTCCGGACTGCGCTGTAGGGCACGCAGAAGGAGGTCCAGTGAGGCAGGCGCCGCTGCAGCAGGTGCTGCGTCAACACCTCTGAGGCTCGGGGCTTCGGGCGGGAGGCGGCGCCCGCGGCCCGGGGCCAGCGCAGCAGCAGACGAAGCACAGCCTCGTGGGCCCTCCGTAGGGCTTCCATGACCGGCCTCGCCCGCGCCCCCCGCCCCTCGGCCGCCTTACGGGCGCGCGCCCCTGGGGGCGGGGCCAAAGAGGCGCGCGCGCGCCCGCTCCCCGAGGCTAGTAGCGGGACGCCCAACCGGCGCCGCGCGAGTGCGCGAGCGCTCCCGGGGCGCGGCGGCGCGTGCGCACTAAGGTTCCGCGGCTTCCTCGGGAGAGAGTGGAGCGGGGAGGAGGGCCGGGCGGCGTGAGCTAGCTGAGGTAGTTAAATCGTCACCATAGACCTCATGAAGTCGTTAATAATCCTAGGGAGGGAGTGGGGGGTGGGATTCGTGAGTTTTATTCGTTCAGGTATGAGGAAAATTAAGCTTTAAAACAAGTAAATAATTTTACCCAGTGGAGTGGCAGAACTCAAGCCCGCATCTCTTCCAAGTCGTGGACTGAAGAAATCCTTCATTGGTGGTGTTGAGGAAACACTTGAAGAAGTTGTCCTCAGGGAAGTGAGTTAAAGGCCAAGTCCCGAGATTTGCATTGACTAGTAAAGTCGGGGAGCACTTTTCAATTTAGGTTCCCTCTTTCGTGTTTTTAAAAATAAGTCCCAGATATTTCAACAGAAAAAAAAATTGTTGTTTAGAAAGCCTTATATCTCTCCATGCAGTGTGCACCACCATCTCCTTCAGAGCCTGGAAAACGGCCAGACCGGGAGTCTTAATTTTAAGCCCTAATAATCCTGTCACCCATTATCAAACCTCTTTAGGAAAACTTTTTCTCAAGTTTTGCAGCTTCTTGGGGTAAGAACTTGTATACATCTGTTTTCTAGAGAGGCATTTCCTTTTACATGTCCTAAATTCATGTTTGGAAAAAAAACCATACATAAATGTGTCTGGAAAGTGCTGGATGTAAATGAGATCATTATGTGTAAGCACCATATAACCACTGCTGTTAATATTGTTGCTGAAAACTCAAGGGGAATGGAGGATAGTGTGGTGACTCTTACATTCTCCAGTTTTTATTGAATCCTTCAACAAATCGTAATTGAGCACCCACAACCATGTGCCAAATCTTGTAGGATAAGTAATTTCAGGGGCCTTGTAGTCACGCAAATAATTTAAACCTTAACTTTACAGGATTTCCTGTTAGATAAAAGTTTTTAAAAGATTTTATAGGGAGGCACGATATAGTTAGATTTGCACAGAAATGGTTGGAAGGAGGCTAAGACAAGAATCTGGGAGGAGATTCAATACTATGATTTCAAATTAAACGTTTTTAACTTTTTTTATAATGGGTTTATATTTAACATTTTAAAATTCAGTACCATTATTTTTAACACTTTTTACATAATGGGTTTATATTTAATATAGTAATTCTCACCATGGAGATGTTGCTCAGTTAATACAGAGATATTTTTGTCTTTGTTAAACATTAAATCTCTTGTCCATTTCAATGTTAAATACATTAAATATGTTCTCTAAACTTTTTCCCCCACAAAAGATAAGTTTTAATCTTTAACCAACTGTATTTAATATCTAGGTACAATATTAACTTGGGAGGTAACAAAAATCCACTAAAAATAATGGAGAAAACACTCCTTAGTGATACAGGAGGTACTGATTATAACTGAGCAGTAACAGTTTCCTAGGATTTTGAGCAATTTTTTCTTCTTCCTACTGAGAATTCTGAAACTATGAAATATTACTTATGCAAATTTCAGCCATCTCACTTGTTTGACCTTTCTAACTAGCAAGTGCAAACTATAGATGATGTTTTTCAGTGCATTATTTGTTGTGAAGAAAACATTTTGTTTTCCATTTAACACAATATTATCAATTTGTTCAATATACAAACTGTTCAAATATATCAATTTTTCCATCATATTGGTTTGTGCAGTCAATAACAAAGAATATGAAACTACCCAGTTTACTCTTTCTTGCGAACTTTCCGACACCAAAGCTCAGTTCTGAACCTCAATAGGACAAAGATTTTCAGGGCAAGGCTTGATTCAGGAGGGCCTTTTAAAGTCACGTCTGTCCATTTCTTCTTCGTGCATATACACACCCTCCAAATAAGCATAGATCCCTGTAATGCTGAGAACCACACCTGACAAGAGAGCCGTTGTATCTCTAGTTTCTACTGCTTCAACAATAGGCAGCACCAAAGGCAATAAAAAGATGATTAGGAAAGGGTGTGTTGAAACTGATATCAGACGTTGAGATCTTGAGGTGACTGGTTCTTGAAGGCCGAAGCTTACAAAGAAAGTAGTATTTGTTTAATTCTAACTTCCAGGAGCTCCGGATGCTGAGGCTAAGCGGCTCTGCATGGCAGTGCCTTCAAGGCAGTAACCATTACAGGAATTCAAATTAATTTTAAAAAGATGGAGTTCTTATTGAAACAAAATCTGTCATAGAACCCCAACCTATAAAGTAGATGAAAACTTGTGTTTTATTACTAAACATTTATTAAGTGCAAAATTTTAATATTAAAGGTAAATTTTTTAAATGAGACTAGTTTGTTTTTGTCTTGGGTTTTTACTTTGTTTTGTTTTGCTTTTAGCAGAAAAGGAATTTATTGGAAGGCAGTTGGATAGCTAAAATAATAAATAGGAAGTCTGCAGAACCAAGCTTAGAAATGGGAAGGAATCAAGGGAGACTGGCTGGCAGAGACACAGGTAAGACCAACAGGAATTAGTTCGGTTGGGATGCCATGGCTGGCCCACTGCCAGTAGACTCTTGACCCTGCTGTTTTATGCTCAAAATTTTTCAAAGTTGGGGGCTATGGACAACAGTTGCAGTTATAGTAGCCTGAGTATAGTTTCTTTTTTTCTTCCTTTTTTAAAAATAACAGTTTATTTCTTACTCCTTTGTTTTGGTAGTTTACTATCAAGAAAATCCTGATCTCTTGGGAGAAATAGACATAAGTAAGAGTGGCTTTTAAGTGATTCACCTTGAAATCTTGGGCATGTGCTTTAACTAAAGATGACAAGTGGAGATGAATTTTGAGATCTATACTGAAATGACTTAACCTCAAATTAATGCATGGGGAGTTTGTAAATGTTAAAAAAAATTTGACATCTCACTTTTGACAATATAAAAATTATTTTAAAAAATAAAATTTGAATCAAACATTTGGGGAACCTCTGAATTCAGTGTGAGAAATCCTACATTCTGTAGTATATAAGGTAAAAACCACCGATAAAGAGACAGTACATATACACCATGGAATATTACTCAGCCATTAAAAAGAATTCATTTGAATCAGTTCTAATTAGATGGATAAAACTGGAGCCCATTATACAGAGTGAAGTAAACCAGAAAGATAAAGACCAATACAGTATACTAACGCATATATATGGAATTTAGAAAGATGGTAACGATAACCCTATATGCAAGACAGAAAAAGAGACACAGATGTATAGAAGAGACTTTTGGACTCTATGGGAGAAGGCGAGGGTGGGATGATCTGAGAGAACAGCATCGAAACATATATATTGTCAAGTGTGAAACAGATCGCCAGTCCAGGTTGGATGCATGAGACAAGTGCTCGGGGCTGGTGCACTGGGATGACCCAGAGGGATGGGATGGGGAGGGAAGTGTGAGGGGGGTTCAAGATGGGGAACACATGTAAACCCATGGCTGATTCATGTCAATGTATGGCAAAAACCACTACAATATTGTAAAGTAATTAGCCTCCAACTAATAAAAATAAATGGAAAAAAAAAAGAACTGGAAATTTACATAGGTATCACAGCATTGTCTCATGGAGGCTCGTAAAACAGCTAGGGAACTGAAGGATTTCTGTTGGAAGATGCTCTCCTGGAAAAACCTCATCAGTGGTAAAGGTTTCTCTAATCCAAGGCTCTTTGATTATCTCTCTTTTCTGTTCTAAGATAGGAAGTTCGTCCAAAGATTTCTGATAGATGGTGTACCACACCTAGGTTTTCAAGAGTGTTTGAATGAAATATTACCCCAAACTAAAGATACAGAGCTGAAGAACATGACATCTAGATATCTCTTCTAACTTTATATAGTACTCCTTCTGTAATTGAAATAAGATAATCTTTCAATAAACTACAATTCAGATCAGATGCTTGATTTTCTTTTCTGTTCCAATTCTTCATAGCAATGAATTTTCAGTTCTAATTCTTCAAGTGCCCCCAAAGGGACTTAGAAGTTGTTATTCAAAAGCCTAAATCAGTGTTTAAAAACATTGCTTAGTGTATAGTAATTAAATGCATTAAATGCACAAATACTTAGTTTTCCACAAAGTATGGAGAGATGACCTATCCCTAGACAGAACCCCTTAAAAATATCTATAAATAGTGCTGCCTTGTACAGATTTTAGCATGTGCATGGGTGGTGTATCATGCCTCTCCTAGGAGGAATTTTGTTTTGGTTTTGTTTTAAAGGCACTTATGACATAACAAATGTTCAGAACATGTTAAAAATAAGTTCTACAAAGTTGATAGTTTGGAATATATTAAAATTAAGAATTTCTGTTCATTAAAAGGCATTATTGAGAGAGTAAAAAGGTAATCAAAGGAGAGAGAAGTATTTGCATTACATATATCTGATAAAGCATTTGGTATCTAGAACAAATCATTTTAAAAAGACACTCTTTGGCCAGAAAGCTGGCCAAAGTATTTAATGGACCCTTCCCAAAGGGGAACATCTAGATGTTCAGTAATGTGAAAAAGTGTTTAGTTTCTCTAGTCATATGAGAAATGGGAACTATTAATAAAATATATATTACCTTAAATATTACACACCCATTGGAGTGGGCTAAGGTAGAAAAGATAGAAAGTACTAAGGATATGCAGCAGTTAGAACTTTTATACATGATTGGCAATCAGTTTAAAAATTTTTTTTGGCAGTTTATTAATTAAAGCTAAATAAATACATACCTTATGACCCAGCCATACCACTCCTAGGTAGTGTGCTCAGGCTACCATCACAAAATACCACAGACCAGATTTAGCCAAGAACAAATTTATTTATCACAGTTCTGGGGACTGGGAAGTCCAGGATC